TTCTTGTTTTAAAACAAACATATCTTTTGAAATTTTTACGATCCGTCCACACATATGTACGAGGGTGTCGATCCCCTTTTCTCAAGGATGCTGCCTTTCTAGATGATTTTAGTGTTAATGCCAGGAATGCAGACATTTTTAAAATTAGATTTAGTATGTTTTTTTACAGTAGTTTTAGTAGACAGTATTTTTATTAGTTGGCTATAGTTTTTTAGTAGACCGTGTATTTTATTTAAGATATATCTTTTAATATTATATATTGTTTTTATCATTGTAATGACAATAAACGCTTTTTTTAAAGAACAATCGACAATAAATGTTGTGGCTTTAAAACAGGAAGTAAACACGGAATATTAAGTTAAAAAAGATCACGTGTTTCAATTGATCTGTATACTGAGGCTTGTGTTTCTCAGTTTTGACCTTAGGGAGACGAAAACAAAAATGTAAATACCTATTTTTTAGTTACGTTTTGTTTTGTGTATTTCTATTCATTCTCTAGACAACCAAAAATTGTTTAGATTTATATATGTTAATTTCTGGGGAAGGCGCGGGAAATTCGCTGATCAAAACATTGCAGGCTCTTTTTTGTCACGTAATACTTGGTGATTGAGAGTGACAGAGATCTTCGAACAACTTGCATTTTAAAAGAAAAATGAAGATAGGAGGAGATAAATATAGTTATAGAGATAAGAAGGACATTCACAAGGCGTTTTGGAGGCAAAGAAGTGGATTCTAAACAAATATTGGCCAGTCACGCAGCATACATAACAGTTCGGCGTAGGTCGACGGTGGTAAGTAAAACTAACACCATTCTTCTTTGAAATACTATTCTTTTTCTGAGGTTGTAGCCAAAACTTAATGAACTTTTTAAGGGCGTAATTTATTTATCGGTAGAAGGAAGAATTTCTCATCATTGAATGTTGTTTTTAGATGTACAAGTTGACATTCCTTTATGACTGGCATATACTGGCGTGATTTAAAGCTTGTCAACAACCGTGCGCCATGTGGCCTTGAAATCTCCCCAGGAAATGAAAAACAGCTTGTTCTTGTCACAGTAAAGACCATTAACACTTGAATGAAGGACTTCTGTATAGTTGAACTCGTAAGAACAATAATCTCTGATTTTGCAAGAAAATCAAAACGAGGTCACAAACATTACGATTTTGCCTTCGATATTTTGGTGGCATGCATTACTAATCAGCGTGAAATCTTTAATTTTCTCGCAAAATCTTGACCGTTTTAAGCATGCATTAGACTCCTCAATTATTATTCTTGTATAACGGGGTGGAAAGTGTCGGTTTGGTAACTTCAGCGGCGGTCAATTGCTGAATTATAGGGCAGGAGAAGTGGAAATAAGCTTGTTTTAGGTGCCGTTTTCAAGTGACATCTGACGCCCAAAAAAGGCTGAGCCCAGAAATGTTTTTTATGTTTATTATATACTAAAGGGTTGGTAAACAGGGATTAGCAAAATTATTGTTATAGCTTTCTGGCAAGGAGAGATATTTGATCTCAAAATCAAGAAATATTTGAATGGCTAAAAAGGTGGTCCCATTTTCAAGGCCAGTAATTGACAAGCTGTCAATCAAATTGACTGAAACTTACATCCTTGCATTTGTTAATGATGTATCAATATATATCTACAAACCCTCAAGGTAAAAGGTTAAAAACTGTTGTCCTGAGGGCTTCCTACTTTTGTCTGTTATTAATGCACTTTTATTGCTAAAAAATGTAATCAAACCAGTTGGGTGGGCTATCTCCCACCATAAAGATCGAAACATTGAACCAGTTTGTGATTTTGAGTTTTGGGGTAGACCCTTTAAATTGGCCAAGTTTCATTGAAATCAGAGAGATAGCATGTAGCACACCTGCCTGGTGCACTCATGGACTCACTCTTAAAAACACAATTAGCTTTCAAAACGTACAACAACAATTTTTATTCGGAGACGGCTAGTGACGACTGCTATAACACATTTTAAAAAACTTATGAGGTCCGCGCTGAAGAAGGGATAGTTGGCCGTTGTAGTGAGGGAAAACAACCTAACAGTGACAAAGAGAAACTGTAAAAAAATAACGAGTAAAACATTTTATGTCAGGACACAACTTCACAGTTTTATTTTAATATGCCTATTAAAACTACAGGGACGCTTTATTGCTAAATAGTATCCACCTATAAACATTTTTGAGTAAAAATATACCTAAACGAAATTATCTAGTAAAATACATGGTATCAAAATTCATTTACATCACGCTGTTGATTCCTGTAAGACTATAAGTCTAGAATAGAATTACCCGATACTACATGTAAAGAACTAAATCCTTTAACCTACCCTACCCATCCTCGTAGAGGATAACATTTTTCATTTTACTTTTTTTCTTTCTTTTTTAACAAAAATACGAAGATGAATATTAAATTGAATTTGAGAATGATGTTTGAAACATCGGGTAACGTTTTTAACTTTAATTTTCCTTGTTAAATGCTTCAACAAGCAACCGATTATCGGACCTCTTAGCTACATTATACTGCAAAATTTTCCTATATCTAGTTCTTTTCCCTCACCCACCATAGACTTATATTCGAATTCATGATTTAATGGTGGAAATCAGCAAAAACATATATTTAGATGTAGAATTTCACATGCGTTGAAGCTAACTCTAATGACTTGACTTCCTAGACCTACCCATTTGCCAGTTAACTCTCGTAATAATTCCCATAAAGATGGCTGAGTTAAAATGTTTTTACTTAAGAAAATTGCTGACACTAAGTACAATAGGAAAATCATTAACCTGACGGAAAAATAATCGCATAGCAAGATAGCAAACGTTAAAATCTGGCGACAACTTTCGATGTTAACAGTCAGCTGGTGCACCATATACCAAGTGAAAGCATGTCTCGAGTTACGTCACAAAGAACACAACAATGATCCCTAACCCTTATCAAGAGCCATATGGCACTTGCTCTTACACAATAACACAATAAACTTCACACAATACAACGACACAATGGTGATATATTGACTTGGTATATCGAGCATCGCCCTAACATTCTAAAAGAACCTCTTACTATGCAAACACCTATGAAGTACACCTGTGAGCTTTAGCGAAAAAACATGATATCCTCACACGTTACAATAAAGAGGTTAAGAATCACGTGCACGGAATACAGGTTCAGAGTGACAATATTTTAAAATAAGCAGATAAAAGGAAATAAGCAGATAAAAGTTGCCGAAACTATTTCGCAGTGAACCTGATTCTAAATCTCTCTAAAAACACTGTTAACTTTACAAATGAAAAGATCACCGATGCTATGGTTGCACAATGAATCGCCCCTTTTGCAGCAAAAAAATTAAGATGAAGTGGTTTGGAATTTCATTGGTGTTTGTATAAAAGTAAACACCCTTTGTTGCAAAACATTTTACTCGTTTTCTGCGCTCACTCGTAAAATACTTTTCAACACTGAAAGAGAAATTTCGTATCTCCACACAACCATGCTATATCCACTATTTCAATATTGCTTTCACTTGGTATTATTTGGTCTTTAGTATTTTACAAATCAAATTTGCGCTTTTTCTTAAATTTTGCCCCAAAGAACCGGTTGGGGTGACGGCTTAATAACGATAAGGGTTTTTCAAACAGAAAGAGGGATGGCGTTTATCATTTTCAAACTGTTTTCCGATTTTATTTTTATCAAGATGGCGGACGTAATCTTTATACCTCGTACACGCAGAAGGCTTTAAAAAGGAGAAACAATCAAATGGTACACAACCTTCCGACTTCCCGTTCCGAACGCGAGGAATAGGGTGCACCGAAATTTGAATAGAATTTCCGGAAAGGTGCTGTACCATTTGGAATGAGTTTTTGCCAATAACTGCGGGATTTTAGGTTTAATGTTGACCACCGTTGGTCTCGTTCAAGGGAATCTGTGTTCAGGCGATGCTGAGACTGCAATCTGAAGAAATCCGCGAGGTGAGTAATCTGCTTTCAACTATAAAAATTGTAATTTGTTTATCCATGCAAGAGGCGTCCCACGTCGAATTTGAATTTGGAAGTCTTGGTTTTTGAGGACAGGGGAAAACCGGAAAACCCGGAGAACAGCGTCCGGGATTTGAACCCGGGTCACACTGGTCGGAGACTTGTGTTCTCACCACTGCACCATCCTTGCTCCCGAGCAAATAACTAAAAATGCAAGTCAACACGAAGAAAACACGCTTCTAGCGGACCGGAAATGAAATGAAAAGAAAGTCAGCCCCATTGCATCATTGAATGAAACAGAGTTAACGCCCAGATAAGATTTACCATGAAACACCCCAGAGTAACACTAATTCAAGCAGATAACAGAGATCATAACAGTCACTCAGCGAACGATTTGTAGTCAGTATAAATGGAGGGAAATGGCCTGCTATTTAGTGGTCCGTAAGTCCAGTCGACATGCCGAAACAAAATAAAGGCCATGACCGTTTGGGCCAAGAAGGAAGAACGACAAATGAGAAAGGGATAAAAATAGACAGGCTCAAGAAGAACTTGATTGATTATCTACTTTGCTATTCTACGATGGTAATCAGCTACAATCGTACATGATTGGACAAATACGACGGTAATTTAATTGGAATTTAGTCAAGGATAAGTTAACACTCCACTGCCAGCGAAAGTTCGAGTTCTCTTAGACTGGTGAATGTCCTGGAAAATCATATTAATAAGGCGTCTTGAATGTTAAGCATCCCGATGATATTGAGAATAAATCAATCGAAATCGTCCAGATTCACACTTTCCTCAGATTCATCAGAATCAAGGAAATCGTCCTGAGTTAAAAAGAACTGTTCTTCCAAATCCGGATTGCTGAAACCTCCAGGTTGGATATTCTCAAGCAAAGAAGCTGGAATGTTGGTCGTTGAAGAAATCTGCCTAAACGGAAGCAGACTTGTCTCAGCTGTACTTATTCCGCCTTTCCTTGGAGCAGTAAAAAAATCCACGGGCAGAGCACACTTTAGATTGCAAAAATTTAATACGCATACCCCACTTGGAGATATAAAACAAACAGCTCGGTCCTCATCAGGTGACACAGTCATACAGAGGATTTTTTCCCGCCCTTTTGCAATTCGCGCAAATCCAATAGCTTTAGCCTCAGAAATATCCCACAGGAAAACCATTCCATCAACAGCATAGGAAATAAGATAACGGTTCCTTTTCAAAAACTTGCAAAACTCAATTTTACCAAGATGGCCACGGAGAACTCGCTTAGAGGAGTGGATATCAGCAGCATGAAGACTGTGCACAAAGATTACGTTTGCGAGGCAACACACTAACAGCTCCGTGTCTTGAGAAACAGCGCAATGACTGAATTTCACTGGGTTGAAAGATCTCTCCACATAGATTCTCTTAAGTAAGTAGCGCGGATACAAACTGAACTCCCAGATCTCAATCTCACAATCGCCGCCACACAAGATAAGGTTTCTGTTATCCGAAGACAGGCAAAAACTGTCGATAGAGAGCAAACACGGTGAAGAAAATGATTTTGACAAAAATTTTTCTTGAACATCCCACACATAGAAATGCTGGCCACTGAAGTTATCCTGGATACTGAAGAGAAGAAAGACGCCGTCTAATGAGAATGTCAGGCACAAATCTGTGAAACTAAAGTCTGCTTCAAATACTATACACTGAGACTTCTCAAACTCCTCGACAATGCATTGTTTTATTTGAGTGTGCTGCTGAAAAGCAAGTAGTTTTCCATCTATGGAGAAGACACAATTCTGTATCTTGATCACCTGCGAGCGAGATCCGGCCGAGCTTGATTCGAAAATTGGTTCGAAGGAGAAGCGACGATTGTGATCTACCAGTCGCCACGACGTAATCAGTGATTCCCAACTAATAGACTTCACAGTATCACTTGAAGAGAATATCGCAGCAGTCGTCTCTCCTACCTCCCCATCCTGTCCAGGTAAGACAGAAAAAAACTTGCAAGGGTTAATTAAACTGGTCAAAAAGATAACTCTTTCTTCAATACCCCTACGGAACAAATAACCAACTCGCCCCTCTCTTGTAAAATAACAACAGTTACGTCCGGACACACTGGTGAAAACAGTACCTGTCTGGAGAGATAATGCATGTAGTAAGTCTTCATAAGACAAATACACAACATAGAGATCATCATAAGTAAAGGTCAGGTACTTTGCTCGGGTGATTCTGTGTTCTTGCTTTTCGGAACTGTAATCGCAAGAATCTTGTTCTTGAAAACCTGTTCGCAACAAATGTATTTCTCCCATCTCCCTGCTGCTAACCATCCACATTTTTCTGGGTGACAAACAATGAGAAATATCATTGCCAACAAGATCAATAAAACCTTTTGGAAAGTTAAGAAAAACACTACGCTTGAACGAAGTACAGAAGAGTTCAAGGTCAAGCTGCAACGTCCACTTCCAAATTACTTGCCACAAGTCAGGACGTAGCCTATCCAATAATTGGCCTAACTCCTCCTTCAGCGTACAGGATTTCCACTTCCCCTGGTGTTCAAGAAGGTCCTTCGTTATCTCCCAGAGCATCGGTAGCCTACTCTCTACCATTCCACTCCGTTTCTTCTCCTCCTTCCAATGTAAGTCCTCCATAAGCTTCCAGACCTCCTCCAGCCTCCACTCTATCATTATCCTCAGTTCCCACTCGTCCTTCATACGGCTCATCCGCCACGTCATGTAACGCCATTCCCCCGTAAGATCCCAGGCCTCCCTCAGAACCCGCACTACCATTTCAGTCAACCTGTCCTTCTCCTTCCAATCTTTCCGCGTTAGCGTCTCCTTAAAAACCCACTCCCGCATCACTATGTACTTTAAACTTCGCCCCAGCTTCGGAGATAGGAAAGCATCCAGCATCCACTCCTTCAAACGCTCTCTCACCCACTCCATCTCCCCCTCACTCAACTGCACATGTGTCCTCTCAGACCAATCAAACCTTAGTCTGAAGAAAGTGTCAATAGCAGTAACCACGGCAATATTACACACAGACATCACTTGATCAACACCAGCACAACCTACTCCTCTCCCCCACTTGTCAAAAGCGCTGGTCACGTGACAAAAATAGGTAAATGGATTGAATTGAGCACATTGATTTAATACGTCCTGAAGCAGGGGTCTTCCAGTCTCTAGGTTCCAAACCTGATATCGGAATATCCAACGGTAGAGTTTGATGATAAGTTGGCGCACATGCGCCAGAGACGATTCTTTGCTAGGATCTGTTACTTCTTTTAACTGGTCACAAAAGTAACAAGAACGATAATTTGCTCCGTGCATTGCATTGACTTCACAAGACATTAAGTTTATACCGAGACGTCTCAGCAAGGAACTAGTTTCAATGCCCATGTTACTGAACCCGGCTACCATCTCTGGTAACTGACGAAAAGAGCAAGTCCATTCTTTGTCTGGGCCCCCGTCAATCTCCTTTAGAGCCCAAAGAGAGAGTAGGTCTTCTATACACCTTTTCGTTTGACAGGTCCCTGGTAGATCTGAAAAATGGTTCCTTTTCACGACTATGTGCTGCCCATCAGAAGAAAAACGACCCCAGTCATGAAGACCAGGGTTTTCAGAGAACTGTGGAAAGTCCTCGACACAACCTCGTCCAACAGAAAACCATTTGTCAAGCCGTCCAAAAAATACAAACTTGTCGTCTGGTGAAAACTCTAAACAGTTTATTCTTTGAATCATATCTTGGCTCACTTCAAAAGGTCCGCCCAGTGTTTCTAGTGTGGAAGCATCAAAGAAAAAGAGGGAACGATCCTTTGCGGCGGCCAAAGTTTTGTTATCAGAAGTAATGGCGAAGCAATTACATTGAGAAAGAGTTTTCGTAGCGGAATTAATATTACAAATACTCCACTCTAAACACGGTGCTGATACTTGTGGGATCGAAAAAATCCCACCGACATCATCTAAGGTGTTGCGGACGCATGATCGCAAAAGGTGAGGACATTCTACGAGAATATGAAAATCGCTTTCAAGAGCTAAGGAGATTTCTTGAAGAACATTTTGTTGCTGTGTTTCCTCGGTGGGAAGACAGCTGGATGCAAGCTTATAATCTTCAACAACATGGTAGATCTCACTTCTCCCACTATGAATCCTTTTCTCTAGGAAACGATAATTTACTAACCACTTAAAAACATCTGTCAGTGAATTTTCGTCAATATGATGACACAGAAAGCGAACAGCAAAGTGCATGACAAATCTTTCCAAATCCTCATCTCTAAGCGGCAGTGTTGCTCGTGTTTCTTCGACAACAGTTGAAAGAATTTCGATAAACACAATTCTGAGATATTCAACTGCGACCTTTTTATCAATTAACAACCTTCGTGGAGTTTTCCTCTTGTCTGTTAGCCACATTGGAATCAGATTATGAAGAAATGTCACTGCCCCATCAGAAGTTCGCACAACAAATAGAGACACGGCATCGATAGCCTCCTGCTCATCAAGATCTGACTTTTCTCTGTTAAGAACATATGAAACAAACGATATAGGAAGGGGAGATGGAGCGGCTATGATACAGCCAAATAACTTCCTGTAGAGGTCTCCTCCTACCTTGTCAAACACACGCTGGAAATTCTCCTGAAAGAATTCGTCAATATCTCCGGGAAAGAGGTCAGTCTGCTGACTCACCCGGTGAGAATTGGATTCTTTTAGAACTTCTGCAATGTAGTAAGCATACAAAAACAATCCATTGCACTTCTTTGTGACTTGCTCAACAGAGTAAGAAATGCAAGAGAAATCTATTTCCTTTTTTAAAAAAAGTTTAATGTCTTGTTGGTGCTGCTTATAAAAACCTCGTTCTTCGCTATCACCTACGCAAATCCGGATGCATGGATTGTACTTATCTAATCTGCTCTGTATCGAGTCTTCAGGACGACTGGTGATAAAGAACAACAACCACTGAGGAAGTCGAGGAAGAGCTTTCTTTATAACATAAAGAAAGTCTTCCCTGGACTCGTACTCTGTTTCATCCAAAGCGTCAATGATGACTAATTTGCGCTGCTGGCAAGGGGCGCACTTACCTAACGGCTCTTCTAACAGTTTCGTAAAAAGTTCCTTAACGCCCAACTTAGAATCAGCTAACATCATTTTTAGACCATCCTCCCCTCCCACTAAGGTAGAAATTTCACTATTGCAGTCACAGAGCTGACGCGCAATAGTCCCGACAAGGTACCTGGGATTATTTCTAGTTCCATCGTTATGACGGCAAAAGTAAGCAGCACCTAAATGTCCTTTGTTTCTTGCCCGCTGTGTTAGAGCTCCCGCAATCACACTCTTTCCGATACCTGCGTCACCAAGGAGAACATATGCTCTGGAGTCGCCAGGATCACTGAACCATTTGTCAAAATCCTTAAAAAGCCATTGTCTTGTATCTTCATCATGACGCGCGGCAAAAAATGTGATGTCTGCTTCACAGTAGGCAAACTCTGCAGAAAAACAGCAAGTCATTTTAATATCTTTTAAACCATACAAAGAGAAGTTTATTTTTGCTGTCAGAAGTCTCCTGCAATACGATAGTGTATTTTGATCATTCAAACAGTGGTTATGTGTGTCTACCCCTTTTCTACGCAAAGACACGACACAATAGGTAGGGTTGGGAGAGTTCTTGTGATTATGTTATTCACTAAGCAGTATGACGTGGAATGATGTCAATAATCAGGGGCACCCAATGACTGTTTTCTCAGTGTAAAATATCTGTTCGGAGCGTAGACGCAAACATTGCGTAGAATTTTCTATAGTTAAGGACGGCTAAAATTTTCTAGATCACCTCTCCATTCATGTACACTTTTCGAAGCGTATGTAGTAAATTCCCTACGATTTTCTTGAGTTTGATTTTTCACATTTCACTCCCTAGGATAGGCTATTTTTGTAGAAAAAATTTTCGGATTCATAAATGTGATGGAGAGAGGAAGCAGAAAAAGATCTCACTTTCGTAGTACGTTGCATTGGATCTAAAATTGTCCGTAAAATAATACTGAAGCCTTTGTAATTTCGAAAACACTCAACCTCCTCTTGGATGACCGAACAGGTACAAATTTTATAGCAACGCTCAGAATGTATTTTTAGAGATCTAAAAGTACTCTGGATAGCCTAAAAGGCCGTGTTTTCAATGTCTTTAAGAGGAAACCGTCGTTACCGAGAAATTGCAGCTATGCACAACGTGACCTTCAGTAGCTAGGTAATGACGACTGGCCAGGGCTTGCACGATTAAATTCAAATGGGCATTAGCGAGGAGAACAAACCCTGAGGCGTTTCATCTTTGGGTCTGTTCCAGCGAATTTCTCACATGGAGTAGAGTTGATATTTCAATAACGGTAAGGGATTAATTGTACTTTTCATTACCACGACTGATTTGAGATGCAGACTGAGACCTCTGTAGTCCAGCTTCCAATGGCATTACTGCTTGTCCAGCTTGACACTGGTCTAGTTTCAGACGTTTTCCATTTTCTTTTACAACACATTCTGTTCCTGCAACTAGTTGCTGTAGATCTATCTTAGCCTCAGAGGTACCTAAAGGGAAAAAAGAATGTCAACAAAAACTATTGTGTGGCTTCAGGTCAAGAAGTAAAGAAATAACTTTTCGATTAGGTTATCACACCTCCATAAAAGCACGATACAATAAATGAAATGCAACAGTTTACTGCAAAGCTAAGGATGGCTTTATTATCAATAACACACTGAAAATCCAAAACTTGTACAAAACAAATGGCCTCGTTCTTCACGAGTCTTTTAGGGTCTCGTTTAATTCTTGGCTTGTAGGTGTTGAGAATAACATTTTTTTAATATTTGTTTTGAGGCTCTCATTCACAGTACTTCAAGCCAACTTTTCTTTTAAACCAATTTATAAATGCTACAGTGTATATGCAACAAAATTGAAACGCCATACTATGAACCATGCTGATCATCCTTTCGAGAAGATCTCCGCTCTGCTTTGCCCAGTTGAATTTCCCTCCATAAGAAGTGCGCAAGTTCTCAGCCTCCTCAAGACGTTTCTGCCTGTCTTTATTCAAGACGTCTTTGATGGCTGAAGCCCAATCCTCAGGTGTCTCTGAGTCTATCACAAATGATGAGCCAAATGGCACGTTGTCCAGGGCTTTCCCAAACCCTGAGTTTTTGCTGACAAGCACAGGGAGACCAGCTGACAAGGCTTCTAGTCCTGTCAACCCAAAGCCCTCAGTTCTTGACGGCATAAGTACAAGGTCAACCTCTTGGAACAAGCATTTCAAATCCTCTCGGCTTTGCACAAAGCCTCTCACTCTCAAGGATCTTTTGGGAACGCCGTGACATTCACTCAACCTCTTTGCAATTTCCTCGTACTTTCCATCTCTCGCCCCAGCAAACACGAGAAGAGTGTCGGGCAGTTTAGCAATAGCTTTTCCAGCGATATCAAATCCCTTTAATTCAAAGTCTTCATCATCACCACGGCCAAATATTAAGACGCTTCGATGTTTTCCCTCATTAGGACTTTGTTTTACACCCACAAACTCATCAAACACTCCTGGGGTAAAGTCAATGACATTTATACCTTCTCCACGGAGATATGAACGGAAGGCTTCGCTTAGCTTGGGTCCGACTCCTACAACAAGATCTGCCATTTTACAGAGTTTCACTTCCGTCCTGTGCTTTTCTTCGCCCTTTGAAATTGGCTTGTCATAGGTTTTAAACATTCCAAGTTCCTCTGGGTCTGTGTGGACCATTTGCACCCAATGACACTTTTTAGATTTTCTAATAACTTGTGCCTGGTGACCGAGTTTTATCCCATGGCCGACAACTACATCAATTTGCAAATCGTCTGGTGGAAAGCTTAGCCAATCCAGTTCTTCAAACCCAGGATGCGGTATTGCTTCAAGAACCTTTACATTGTGACTGAGAGCTTGATTCCTTTCCCCTTCACTGCATCTTGGCAAAAAGAAAGTGATTTCTACCTCTGGGAATTTAGCCAATTGTATGGCAAGCTCTCTGTTCAAGGTAGAAAGACCTCCTTTACTTGATCCCCATTCCGAGGCTAAAATGGTGACTTTTACTTTTCCAGGGATATTAGGTTGGTGATGCTCCTGAAAGGGTAGTGAAGTGGAAGCCATGACCTAACATTAAGTGGATTTCAGAGAGGATAAGCCAATTCCTAAAAACGAATGATACACATCGTTGTGATTATAATTGACATGATAACTTAATAAAGATACCACTACAGGGCTTGAAAAATTGGGTATTTACAAATTCTTTGGGCAAGGAGCTCTCACATTTTTTCTTACCTGGGGCCATTTTTTGCTTCTCTTAGTTAATGATTTTGTTAGGGAATGACTCTCTTGGACCCTTGCCCATGCATTGTGCAAGTAACTTTAAAAGGTAATCGCCCAGCAACAAAATCTTCTTGTCGTGGACTATATACTGGATGGGACTATTTTCAAGCCCAGTATGCAGCCCTTAGCAGAATTTAATTTCATTTGCTCCAGCTATTATGCAACTTCATACTTTTGAAGGGCTTAAACTAAATCAAAGAGGTTGTAATCACTGATCTCCTCTTCACCTTTTGGTAAGGTGTCATTAGCATACTACATGCCAGGAAGTAGATTTCACATAGTACATGGATATGGTCTAACTTTGTGTAATTCGATGCATTGCAGACAAACTCGACGTTATTACTTTAGGTACTGTATGTACACATTTTAATGCAAGTTGTGTAAATAAATGAGGTCCCGCAAGAGGGTTAAACTGTATTATTATTATTTCAAAATATTTCCCCGTTTCTGATTGGGTAAAACACATGCATAATCCCCCATAACCAGCTACCGTTCAACAAATTTGGAAGAATTTTGTGATTAATCAACCAATGACGTCAAAAGTGTAGCACAGTTGCAGGTTAACGCACCATTGACTGAGAAGACCTGGCGACAAGGTTGAGTTGTTTTGGTTGTGAAAAAAAAAATGGCTGAAGAATCGGTGGAACACTTTACTCTTTCGCGACGAACTATTGTCTAAAATCATAGCAAGAAGACAACTCAACAGACAACATCTGCTGTTTGGAGTGTATTGGCAGACCTGATCACGAACAGCCCTTTATCTTCTAAACATGCACTATCGAGGTGAACTTGACATCGACGAAGGTAAAAATGGTTTAGCCTGTTTTTAAACTAGGAATTATTTGAATGAATAATGAAGCAATTAATGAATTCAGCTTTTATAGGATATAAAGAATTATGCAGATCTCGGAGGGTGTTATCCACCTTGGCCGATAACACCTTCCTCGATCTGCATAATTCTTCATATCCTACTCGGCCTCATTCCTTAATTGCTAAATAACCAGATATTTAATACTGATGAGCACTGTATGACTAGACAATATATTTCTCAAATAATTTGCTATGAAGATGATATTTTACCCCCTTCTTTTTAGCAAAATTACAATATTAACCTAAAATGTTCTTTTAATGACCTGTTGAAAATCATTACTGAATACCAGAAACTCATAACCCCTTAATAGTTTCTGTGAATACCTATAATTACAGGCACTTACAGTTACAATTACTGCTCATAGATTCACGACCACCATCATCATCTTCATCATCAGTCATCATCAATAAGGCATAAGCTCCTGAAAATGAATAAGTTATTACTTCCTTGATTACATTGTTAATATTGAAATAAACACCCAAAGGTCATAGTACATCTTTTAAATAATTATACATGTGCATATGAAATTGGCTAGGAGAAAGAGAAGAGGTGTCCTATTGTTACAGGTCAAAATTTAAGAGAAGGTTAAAATTTTTCAACCTACCTTGATTCTTTATTTCCTTTGTTTCCTAGTCCTAATTATTCATGAATAAGGGCTAGGAAAAAAAGGAAATTGAGAATTCAACCTGGATTAAACATTTTAACCTGAGTAATCATTTTGCCCTGTATTACATCTACCCTAAAAACTGTCTTCCTTTGAGATATGTGGTTTACTAGAAGTCAATTTCATTGCCTCATAATACTACAGGGAAAAGTTCCAACAGCAGAAAAACAGTCTACATAACCTAGGATGGACTTACACTAGGATCAAAAACATGATAAAGACTGCTTTGCCAAATAGCTACATCACAAAATACCACACCCTTTGTAAGCTAAGGTTCAAAGGAGTCTACTAAAGGCATAGACCTATTTCTTAATGGAGGCGATTATGACATTTTGAGGGCTAACATGTGAGTTGTATTGTCATGCAATTCGCACATGAAAGCTTTGGAATTTGCTGCTTTTGTGAGAGAATATGACTTAATATAATTAGCCCAAGGGTTTTAAAACTAGAACATGGTTTGTACATGAAGATGTTGGACTCTTTTACAGTATGTTTGACCGTGAAAGAACGCGACGAGTTTACGAGGTCATTTTGCTCAATAAGATTTTGAGAAATCACCTCCTTTCTGAGAGTATGCAATGAAATTGTGCAATCATTCAATGTTACCCTTAATTATCTCATGCACGACTTTATGGAATACATTTTGGGTAACATCTTCTTTGGTACAACGACAACCGAGCGCAAAAATATTGTCAAACTCTTGGCAATAAGCCAAACCATTCACACCATATACTGCAAGGACAATTATTTTCCAAAGGGAAAATTTAAATTATTGAAAGGTTTGTTTCACTCAGTGTAGCTTGTTTTGCCAATAAGTTTGTTTTCGCCAATTTGTTTGCTGTGCGTTATCACTGTGGGTTGTATGTAACGAAGATAGTTTATAAATGCTGACTGTTGTGACACGGCATGCGGCTGGCTCAAGTTGTTTTGCTTGTCTTGTTTACATTTGCACGTATTGTGTGCCTAATTGCAACTTTGAATCAAAACAAGCGAACTCGATTACTCTATTTTGGCTATAATATTAAGTGACGCAAATCCGTGATCAAACGAATGTGAAAAATAATGTTTAGATAATTTAATTCTTAATTAATAAGAAAATAGCGCCATAGCAAAAAGCAGTTCAGAAATGCTTATATAAGTATGGTTACGTTGCAGAATCATCACTTACAATTTATAAGTTTGTCTGGATAAAAAGTTTACTTTTCAAACAGAAGGCAATATGTTGAATATTTTGTGGCCACTGTTTGCTGAGTAATGAAATACCTCTTGATCGAAAGATTCCTAATGGGTTCTATCCCCGTACCTCTCTCTTTCTTACTTTACATAAATAATGACATCAACAATACTATCTAATCTATTAAAGCTCATATTGTTTGCTGACGATACCAATGTATTCATGTCACATAAAGATCTGAACTACGGTATCTTTCAGATATGTCAAACTTGGAGATGGACAAACTGTCAATCTGGTTTAAAGTAAACAAGAATGCGCCTACAGCAGCATAATCAGTCTCGCTTGCTTGGAGATTAGATTGAGAAATGAGGAGGTGATTAATTCTACATGAAACAGGATCGCCTAAGGTTTTTTACTTCCTTCTTTATCAACATCGATACTTTTCACTTGTTTGTGAATTGATTAAGTACGCATGTTAGCAATGACCAGAAATACGTCCGCAGTCGCAGGCTATACATGTGTATATTTAACAATTATTCCTCAAGCCTGAATGGGCTCTGAGTCAATAGCCCTTCGAGGCCGATAGGCTCATGGGCTATTGACTCAGAGGCCATGAGGGTGAGAGGAAGAATATATTGTTTTAGTAAAATCCAACTAGTTGGTCAAAAATATCGAGAATAAAAAAATTTTAGCTAGTTAAAGCTAGACTTTAATCCTTTTTTGCCGCCAAAAAGCCCACGCTTTTTGCTACTAGGGGGCTAGAACATATAGCCTAGTAGTAGCTCAACCAATCAGAATGCAGCATTGATAATAGACCACGAGCTGGATTTTACTAATATAAATTACACAAAAATTGAAGGGCCCTGATTACAGAGAAATAACATCATTGCCAGAGATCAAAAAAGTGATTTACATGACATGTCATTTCAATCATCGCTGAAAATAAACCGCATTCTCATCACAACACCCATTTGAATACAAAATTATTAAAGTTTATAACACCCGACCATCGCAGTTTTGCTAATGAAGATTCTTTTTTTTTTTCCAACTACTCAGTAGTGTTCACTTGTTCCACAGTAATCAATGCTTTGAAGCAACAGAATTTTTGGACCGACACGTTTTCGGAAAACCTCTAAATTTAATCTTTCCTAAACATGTGTGACTTCGATCGCGCAACAATTCTTAGCCCCAGTTTCCAAGGTCTCCGCTAGGAACGCCTGGCACAATGACCCCTTATTTGTGTATAAAATAGGAACAAAAATGCGAAAAAGCGTTGCAGATTATGAGTCTCGCTGCACATGCAAGCAAGACTAACAAACTCTCTCTTAAAATCTAAAGAAGTTCTTGCCCTTTTCTAAAATGATGTAATTAAGTTTCTTAATTCACTTGACAATGAGGTCATCAATTAACTCTCAATCCCTTTCCTCTTTTAAGAAAATACTGAAGATTAAATTATTAAATAAATATGAAAACCAATCATAAATCTTTCCATCTACGACTTTTATATTGATGTTAAACAGCTCTCAGCCCTTTGTTCGAGGAGGCCTAACCTCTCTAAGCTCCTATAGTTTCTGTTACCTATAGGTCTCGACCTGGCCACTTCTTTTTTCTACTTTTCCTAAATTAATGTAATTTCTATAGTGTTTGACAAATAAAATAAAATAAAATTTAAAAAAAAGCATGTATTAAAACAAGGTAAGCCATTTTGATTTCTGAAAGAAAAGAAACTTGAAAGAAAAAAACTGGAAGCCCAAATTTCTTAACCATAGGTTACCTGAAAACCGCACTGATTTCTTGATATGTCAATTCTAATACATTGCTTATTATGAAGCAATAATTCTGCAACATCCCCAGATTCAGAGTTTAAAAGGGAGCAAGCAGTATAAGAATAATAGCACGTGCAGAATTTTTTTCAACCTCTCCCCTCGCCCCCCACCTCAAAAGTTAAAATGCTCAGCCCCTTTTTTGCGTCAGACTGCGAGCGGTCGTCGTTCTTTCCTCAGAGCCATGTGTGGCTTGGTCATGTTAAAACGCAGACCATGCAGACTGCAAACTGTGCAGACTGAGGATTTTTTTTTTTAATATATAATAGCATCTTTATTTATTTTTATCATCATCATTTTTTTTAACCTCAAATTTTTCTCTCTTGGCATTAAATAGAGTCTTTTTACTTCTAAGCTGGTTTCCCGCGATTTTTCCCATTACACCTTTGTGAAAATATCGGGCTCATGTTAATTGGCTCATGGAAGAGCAGTTTCGGTGCCTAGTTACAACGTTTTAAGCATGGCTCATCATGCAGAGATCAGTAGTGATAGTAAGATTTTTATCAAAAATATTTCAAAGAATTTCCAATGATTTTAATTTCCTCTGTGGCCCATCATTTTGTACCGTAAAATTCCGAAAATAAGCCCCTCCATGTATAAGCCCCTCCAAATATAAGCCCCCCAAACGGGTGATGCAAAAAATCCTCCGTTAAATTGCCACCCCTTGGAAAATTACCCTCAAATACAAAGTAAAACAAAGCAAAAACAGTAAATTTACTTCCAACTATAAGGCTAGCCCAATCGATTTAGAAACGCAAATTTCCCTCCGTAAGTAAGCCCCTCCAAAAATAAGCCCCTCAAAAAGGGCCTTTAAAAAAATAAATAAGCCCCAGGGCTTATTCGCGGAATTTTACGGTATTGCAGTTTTGGATGATCAGAATGATATATACGCTTGGAGACCTTTAGGCTACTTAGGAATGGATGGAGGTTTGGATAAACGTAAGCGTAAGTCTTTTATATGTTTATTATAAATTTTCTCTTGTCCTGAGAGTTAAAAAAACAATAAAATAATCTTTTATCGCATAGAGTGGAACCCCATTAATAAATTAATGGGCCAAAAAATTGGCTGTATATATTACTGGGGGATGGCTCAAAATTCATGACTATAGGGCCCTAATGACAAATACAGTGTACATTGCATTCACCGTACTGTGTTCATTAATAAACCGGAATGTAAATATCGCACACATGCAATTGAAAAAACAACTTAAGATTTTCCTTCACTACATGACACTCTTTTAAAATTCGGTTATAAATCGCCACAAGTGCATTTTAAGTGTACTGTGTAAGTCCAAACAACAGTACAAGAATAAGCTCTGATTACTTGGTCAGCGAAATTTACATGTCACAGGCATTTTAATTTTCTGAATTTCGAACAAGTGGCCTTATTAATGGGGTAAAATTATCAGAGATTCTACTGTTTGGGATTTTAAAATGTGGCCGTTGGCCGTATTAATTAACGGATGACCGCATTGCAGATTTGTTTGGATGATTTTGATGATAGCAGCGGTAACAGTGATTTTGGGGTAAGCATTATGCTGGGTCAGCATTGATTTTGTTTTTAAGTTTAACTTAATGAAACTAAACGTAAACGTATGCCCCCAGGAAAATAGAACGTACAAAGAACTATGCTGAACTGAAGGTTGAAATGTAATTGAGATCAGAGGCAGTACATGCTTTCGCTTTCTTTCAAGAATTATTTCAAGTGAAAAATGTAACGACTAAATCAACCAAAATGGTCCATTTCAAATTCGCCTAATGGTGGAAATTATTTTGTTAAAGCTGCAAGAACAAAAGTTCCATTCATTATCTATTATTTTCGGTAAGAAAGATCAAACTTTAATTAAAACAATAAGCTTCCAGGTTATTTTTGCAATTCAAGTATGAACCACGAAAGTGCGCACTGCCTCCCATCCCAATTACATTTTAACATTCAGTTCAGCAAAGTTCTTTGTACGTTCTATTTTCCTGGGGGCAAATGTTTACTTTTAGTTTCGTTATCACAATCACTGCTGACCCATAGCATTAGTTTTGAAATGACTGTTATGGCTGTGCGTCCATACAAATAACATCTATTATGGAAATATGCAATAAAAGATTATTTTTCATTTTTTGACCCTCAGGACAAGAGAAAATTTATAATAAACATAAAGACTTAAGCTTACATTTATCCAAACGTTCATCCATTCCTAAGCAGCCTAAGCTCTCCAAGCATACTATATCATATTCTAAATAAAAATGATTTTGAAAAAAACTCCACACTCTGTACGGTCTGCACGGTGTGCAGTCTGCAGTCTGTGTTTTTACATGACCACAATTTTCATGGCAGCTTTTGGCAGTACATGGCAAACAGATATGACAGTCTGTGAAGTGCACTCCGGTTTCCAAATAGAAGCCAAAGTTTTCAAAGAAGCCTATTGGTTTTGTGGAACCTGGACTATATTCTCAGTCAAAATAATTATATCCCCTTTCATACTATGGAAATTTTAGTACATAACGATGAAAGGACAATTTCAAATAGTTTGCCCTGTCTATAATATTGCGAGGCTTAAGCTTCTTTCCCTTTTTGGTTTTCTTCCTTGCTTGCTTTGAGAAATTAACCTCACGTTTTTCAGGATTTTCAGGAGTTATTACTCGACCATTATTGCAATATCACACAGATAACTGGTGAACTATGTCCCGAACCAAACGGCAGTGAGCAGACAATCGAAGACAAGCTGTTTGTTTACTGACAGGGAAAAGCATGCAAATTAAAGGAATTAAGGGGCTGTCAATCAGCAAATTACAAAGGAGGCGTAAGTGCAGCAGAAAATCGCCAGATCAATGATCCCATCGCAGTCTCTTGAATACTTTTTCTTCACTCAGGCTCCGCACTCGTTTCGCAATTCTCGTCCTCGCATTTCACCGTGTCTCAATAGAAAATAAGAGCCTTTTTGCGTATTCTTGCATGCATTCCTTTTATCTGAGGGAGGGGGAAATGTCCGTTTATATTTTAAAACTATTCCGAGAAACAGGGAAATGTCTTGAAGAAAGTCTAATAGGAGTAACGGATATAAAGAACATAGAAAAACTTCAAATGAATCATTAAACAGTTTAGTTATTGAATTCGGCTTTTTTCCGTCCTGTTTTTCGTATGATATGACGAATTATTTGCGAATTATGCAGAT